ATAATCACCTATAATTGTAAATAAGTAAAACATATTACATATGATATAAGAAGATGTTAAATATATTTTAAGTACGTATAAATGTACATTAAATAAATACATATAGAGAATTTGCTCATATATATTTGGAGAGTTTTATGAATAAGATGTTTGACAAACCCTACGAGACTTGTTTTCTTTGTCTCCGTTTGGAAAGTTGGTTTGAAGTTGGTTGGTTGGGACTAAAAACAATACAATAATATAAAATAGATTAAATAAGTTAATAAAACAAAATATCACATTCAAAGCATAATCATATTCACTTTGCTTGGTTTGGGTTTTCTAAAAGCACTTTTGAGAAAATTCTACTTTCTTATTTTTCGTATTTTTTTTTGTTTTTATTGATTTTTTAATATTTTAAACAATTTTTTTTTACTTTTTAGACATAACTAACATAAATACACTTAAAAAGTATAATTTTCGTGAAAAAAAATCTTTAAAAAAATCAATAAATACCAAAAATAAAAAAATAAACAAAAATTCAATATATTTTTTCGTATTTTTGTATATTTATTAATTTTTTATAATATTTTTTTCTCAAATATTTCACTTTTTAGATACATCTAAGGTGCATCTAACAAAGTAAATAAAAATAATTAAAAAAAACTTAAAATTTTAAAAATATTCACTAAAACCAAAAAACAAAAAAAACACGAAAAATAAAAAACTCAATTTTAAAAAAATTAAAACCAAGCATACTGATTACTTTTTCTCTCACAAAAAAACTAAAAAACCAAAAAATTCTTCTGAAACAGAGCTAATTAGGCTAAATTAGTCAAAACACCATAAAGTCAAATTGAAATAATCAAATTGATAATGGCCCCGTTTGGTAGAACTGTGGGAAAGTGATTATAACTTATAGCCTAATAGCTTGTAGCTTATAGCTGTGAACATAAGCTGATATTTGACTTATAAATTAAGCTTCTCCTCTCCTACTCAAAGAATAAGTTGATTTTTGACTTACAAAAAGCTATAAGCTATAACAAAAAGAATAAGTTGATTTTTAACTTACAAAAAATTATAAGCTGTATTGTTAAGTTGCACCAAACATATCAAAATAGCTTAAATTAAGTTAAAAGCTGAAATAAGCTGGAAATAAGCCCTACCAAACAGGGCCAATGTTTTTTTAAAATTAGATTGAAATAAAACAACAAAATAATTCAGTTACAACATTAACGAGAATCAATACAATAAATGTCATCACTTATATATAATATAGACACATTTTCTTAACATTTGTAACACCAATTTTGTCTAATTAATTATAATTGTGAAAGTATTTTTAATGAAAAAATCACACATATTTTATATATCAAATTATAAATTTGATCAATTTAGTAACTTATTCTTAATCAACTAAATTAATACAAAATTAAGAGCTCAAATCAAAATTAAACTACTTAAAATTATAGAGACTAAAATAACACAAAAAATAAAATAATATAACTATAGATGTAATTAACCCAAAATATTTTGTTAGGGGAAATTATCGAAAAATCCCATAACTGAATCAGTAACACCATTTAGTCCCACCAATTTACATTTGCACTGGTAGATCCCATCAGTGATAACGTGATAACCGCTAGGTCCTGGTTTGATTTGAATTATATTGTTGTGGACGTTTGTACCCTTTCCGTTATATGAGTCACACAATTTCAGGGATCACATCCTTACCTCATCTCGTTACACTCACACACACACTGTTGTGTTCACACACAGTCACACAACACACATAAGAACCACATAACAATGGACATTCATCAGGCCACAGCCCAATAACCATACCCATACACAAACCATAATCAATTTTACACACAGTGTAACAAACAAACCATCCCAAATGACAATCACATAGCACACGTACACAATCGACCCCCCCTAACTGTTAAAGACCCACCATTTAACACTCCCAACATGATGATTCAAGCAAAATCACTTAACAGATCGACGTGAACAATGTTTGGAAGGAATCCGGCAGATCGACTTTGCCGACGTGGTACACCGACTTGACGATGTTCACGCTAGAAGCAACAATGGCGGACTGTGTGAATCTGTGAGATTTGGTGTTTTTTATTTGGGTGACGTAGGTGACGATTACGATTGTGATGTTGGTAGGTGGGCAAGAATCCGGCAGATCGACTTTGCCGACGTGGTACATCGACTTGACGATGTTCACGCTATAAGCAACAATGGTGGACTGTCACAACAATGGCGGACTGTGTGAATCCGCTGGAACAGGCGATCGGATTCTGCGTGAACCCAACAAATGGTAAGGTTCACGTCTACGACCCCTCTCATCATGTGCCGTCGATTCCGCTGCAGTTGATAGATCAGCATCAAAAGCATGAGAACGAGATTGAGGAGGGAGAGAGTGGGGACAATGAGGAGTTTCGAATTCTGGGGCATTCAATGTTTCTGAAGAGGAGGAGGGATGAAGAATCGGTTGCATCGTATTCTTCGTCTTCGAAACGGGTTTTGATCGAGCGGTTCGAGCCTTACGGTCTCGAATCGCGACGGAGTGCAGTGTGGGCTTGGGGGAATCAGCCGCTCTGCGTTGCAGACCCAGATGTTTTTTGGATTATGGAGAAGGAAAAGCAGAGGCAATTCAAAGGGATTGAATTGATAGCTTCAGAGAATTTTGTGTGCCGGGCTGTAATGGAAGCTCTGGGGAGCCATTTGACGAACAAGTACTCGAAAGGAATGCCCGGGGACAAAAAAAAAAAATTTGTGTCAAATTACTTGTGTTCACGTCACAACCCACGTTTCATGTTGTGAGTGTTACACATTTACTAAATTAAAAAAAAGTATTAGTGTGTTTTTTTGATCAACGTGACACACAAACACCCATTCACCTTCTCCCATATAAACCCACACCAAATGTCAATCAATAATACTAGCAGTGACAAAATTGTCAACAAACAAATTAAGGGACCACCCACTCACCAAGAAAATATTTAGGACCTTATGGATTACAAGTCCACAAAATGGGATTTACTGGTCAATTCCCCATTTTGTTATTATATTAATTATGTACTGATGAAGTATATTAAAATAAAATAATTATGATTTCTAATTTTATTTTATTTATATGCAAAGCATGATGTTAATTGATATCAAAAAAAAAAAAAAAAAGGGGTTGCTTTGGTTTATGTCCGGTCATTATTGTTTAGGCCTCGTTTGGCAAGAGGCTATTTTAGCCAATTAGCCAAAAAGTTACTAAATTAGCCAAAAAGCCAACAACCCATACCAAAAAGTCAAAGATTCTCTTTTCTCTCTACTTTTTGCACATCTTTTCGTAATTAGCCAAAAAGTCATCCCAAACATACAAGTTTTTTTTACCTACCTTTTTAGCCAAATAGCCAAAAAATTACTAAATTAGCCTGTTCCCAAACGAGGATTTGAATATATGTATATATGTATATGTAAGAATACAAATCTCTCAGAACAGAACAGATTTCAAATCTGTCAGATTTAGAGCAAGTAATTCTATGCTCTAGAGAAGAAAATCAAATTTAAAATTTAAAAAATAAGGTAAGATTTTGAGTTGTACGTGGAATTTGTATATGCAATGATTGGAAAGTAGCATCTCATATTATTGGGACAGTCAAAAGGACCCTAAATTAATAAAATTGAATTCATAAATGCTTTGACAATAAATAAAATTGTGGTGATTAACACAAGTCCCCAGCCCCATAAGTAAAACATAATCTCTAATAAAAACCCAATTAAGCCCTTGGATTACCATAACAGAAAAGCAAAAAATTAATAGAAGTGACAGAAGAAGAAGGAAGGAAAAAAAAGGAAAAAAAAAAAAAAAACCCCAAGAGTCCAACACTGACTCCATGAAAGAGAAAGCAAAAATTATCAGGTGGTTTGGGAATTCCACCGTGACCATGTGCAGAGAAATACTCAAGTTCATGGTCAATGATGTTTTTAAAAAATAATCAGTGTGTTTGATTTGAGTTTTAAGTTTTTTAAAAATTGATTTTTGTATTTTTTGTTTTTAGTGAATATTTTTTAAATTTTAAACATTTTTTTTTTACTTTTTTAGATGCACCTTACGTAGATGTATCTAAAAAATAAAGAAATTGTGAAAAAATATTTTAAAAAATTAATAAATATATAAAAATACAAAAAATGTACTAAATTCTTGTATTTTTTTTAATATTTTTGGTATTTAGTAAATTTTTAAAATATTTTTTTTATAATTTTTTTACTTTTTAGTTATATTTATGTTAGGTGTGTTTAAAAAGAAAAAATTGCTTACAATATTAAAAAAATTCAGTAAAAACAAAAAAAACACGAAAAATAAGAAAGTAAAATTTTTTAAAAAGTGTTTTTTGAAAAGTGAAAACAAACAAGGTGTAACTTCTCACATTAAAAACCCTAATCAAAATCGTACTTTTTGAAAACAATAAAAACAAAAAGTATAAGAAGAGCTAAAAACCCAATCAAAACCCAACCCATTGCCTAAAAAGGTGAGTTAAAAGTCCAAACACATTATGCCTCCGTTTGGAAAGTGAGTTGACTTTTTAAGTTTTTAACTATTTTAACCTGAGGCTAAAATGTCTGATTTGGAAATGACTTTTTTGACTTTTTTTATAAGAGAAAAGTGTAATGATTATGAGTTGAATTTGATGTTTTATTTTTTGTGACTAAAATAGCCTATTTTATTTTTTGTGACTATTTTAACCCCTAACCCACCAAAACCAACTTCCCAAACTATGCCTCCAAAGATTCAAAAACAGTTTTCAAAAGATAAAACCCAACATATTCTTTTAGATACTATAGGTTTCGTCACATTCAAAATGTTTTCAATAAAAAATTACAAATCAACAGTAAACTTTAACCGCTTTAATAATTAATTCATGAATTTATAAATATTTTGTTAAAATACCACTAATTTGCAATTTTCCCAAGAATCTACTACTAAAAAAAACGGCTATTAAAACGCTTCCAACTCCAGAAAGTAAAAATCAAATTAAAAATCTTCAAGAACACTGCCTTTCACGCGATAAACCCACAATGAAAAACAACGGAAAAAATTCATACTGCTACAAAACAATGCAAAAACTTCGGATACAATGGATGAAAAAAACCAAGCATTGTCACAAAAACAAAATCAACCAGACTGCACAATCCCAACCTAGCCTTCATGATAGAGTCAAAGACTTTCCAGCCCATGAGCATCGGGTTATACATGTTAAAACCATCCAAGATGTTTTAAGTTGCCCCTTTCACAAAAACTATGGGCAACAACATTAACATCCATTTCAAATTTACCTGCATGTAGCAAGTAAATAAAAAATTAGTACAAAGAAACTAATCACCTCCGGAAACATTTTTCAATAATTAAAGATTAAAATAAGAAATGAAGTGAAAGGGTGCCTCATTCATCTCACACAGGCCTATCACTAACTAAATCCACAAAGTGGAAAATCAAATGAATAACTATGCAATAAGAGTAATAATCAGTCCTGGATGACAGTTCCATTTGATGGTTACAGAGATGCATCAAGAACAAAGAGAATGTTAGGGTTTGATAACCAAACATGTTTAAAAAAAGAAAAAAGAAAATGAAAGAGCCAAATATCTATAACAAGAGAGCAAATAACAAAAAGGTGACTCTATTTCCTCGGGGTAACAATGCAAGGCAAATATTTGAGGAAAACACAGTACACTTACACCTACACAATGTCCCTAATCTTACACTTACACTTACACCTACACTTACACCTACACAAGGTGACTCTATTTGAGGGATTGAAGGGCCCACATAGGGCTGTAAACAAGCCGAGTAGTTGGTTAACCAAGCTTGGTTTGAAAACAGAGTGAACTTCACAATGTGTTCATGTTTGGTTTGCTTACCATGCGAGTCATGATCAGAAATGTAATGACCTCAAAATGTGTTAAAGTTTGGCTTGTTTAACTTTCGAGCTGATCTCGAACAAGCTTTTAACGAACCGAAGATAAGCTCAATGGGTTCAAACATCTAAGAAAAATATTAATGTAATGCTATGCAAGAATATATTCATGACAATTCAAGGACCTACAACTGCATGCATTATTTGAATGAAAACAACAATTATTTGCCAACTGCCAGCTAGTGGAAAAGAGTAACGACCATTTTGATTGCACTATTCAAAGGCAATGGCGTCTATAATTACAAAAGAAAATGTCAAAGAGGCCAGAATTAATTACACATCCATCCTTCCATTACAATAGTTATTGAGGAAATCTGATTTTTTTGTCTTAGGAAGATGCAAAACCATGTACTTATATCATTCTGGTCTTTAATGACATGTTCTACATGCCTCAACCAACCAAGTCTTTACGCACTTCCTTATAAAGGAAAAGCAACTTGAAACAAGAGAAAATAAGAAATCCAATCCACGATTAAGAAGAACAGAACAGCTTGCACAGACTACCAAAATACTTAACAAAGGTTCCAATGTAAACATGTGACAATTAGAGAATTTCAGTTTAAGGTTTACCATTCAATCCTCATAATCTCCAGCATTCTCTAATAGGTAGTTGATTGCCAATTCTTCATTGCGGTCACAGGCAAAAAATGCCTCAATTGCAAGGGCTCTATCAAATCCCATTGCCTCAAGCTAAAAATGGACAAAGAAACCTATTAGTATTATAGAGCAAATAAAACATGAATGAACCACAAATACCAAGAATGGAATGAACCATACTCGTTCAATGGCCTCCTGCTCTGCTGGGGTGACGCTAACAGCAAGAGGCATTTCCCCAGGCTGATCAAATAAATTCCTGAAATGAAAGTAAATTTATGTTGACACAATCAGCAAAGAGACCATGTTTTAGTTTCTAAGTTTGGGGGCGTAACAATAGATGTTAATGTGGGTGCCAGGATAATAAAAGCTCAAATAACTTGGGAGTGAAAAGCCAAAAGTTTTTTGTTGTCCTATAAAGTCGAAGCTCCAATACATGCCACAAAAAAATTCCATATTGACAAGGAAGGAACCCAACTGATGGGGAAACTTGAATCACATAAATAAAATTTCTATCCTTGACTGATGTTTCTGTTGTCAAGGCAAACCTTTTAAACAGCCTGGAGTCAGGCTCAGAGAAAGACAACTGGCTAACACAATTAGAAAGTTTATTTATAAACATAGTGTTTTCAGCTGTCCTTTATGGATAGAGAAGTTTTCCTTTTTCTTTGTTTTCTTTGTACAGGCCAGAAAAAATCCATCATGAAATTTGAGGAACCCAACTACTGGCAAACAAAATCACATAAAATTTATCTTCTCAACAGGTGTTAATATGCCAAATAAGATCAATCCTCTAACTACAACAATAAGAAGTCTAAATTTATAAACATAGGGTTTCCAAGGATCCTTTAGACTGTGTTTGGATTATGGATTTGGGTAACGATTTGTGAAGGGAAAATAAAATGGGGAGGGAAATGTGATTGAAACATAAGCTAATTTTATTTCACATTTCCCTTCCCTTTTCTTTTCCTTCTGCCAATCTCTACCCAAATCCATGATCTAAACACAGCCTTAAGGATAGAGAAGTTTCTCAATACAAAGATGCCCAGAAATACTCACCCTTCAGAACCTTCAAGAGGCTCATTTATCAATTGAAGAAACTCTGCATGATGCTCCTGAATAAGGCTTAAAAGTTGGGGGTTCTGCTTTCCAAGCTCCTGAAGCATGGGCTGCAACCAAAGAAACAGATTACAAAACTCTAAAAAAAGTGTAGCATATTAACTCAATAAGAAAGGAATGCATATGGACCTGTAAAATCTGTGGATTTGTGTGCACCATAGAACGTAATGCTTGGAACTGAAAAGCAAACAATATAAAAAAAACAAATAAGAAATAAATTCAATTTCAATAGAAAATATGTATAAATCAAGATGATCTAATTTGATTTCATCTCGTAGTAAGTACATGGTTGATGGTTGGGAAGATCTGATCTCATTAAAAACTTTACTGGGGCAAAAAACTATTTAACTATAAGCAGATCCAGTTATTCAAATGCAAAGCTTTAAGATCAGACCAAACTCCTATAATTACAATCTTCTTAAAGCAAGGAATGACAACAAATAATATAATAGGAACCAAACCTGTTGGTTGTTTCTTAGGAAATCTAGGGAGCCAACTCCACCAACACCAGAACGTGAAATTGTTTCCTGGAGATATTTCAGTTTAAAAAATATAAGAAACATATAAAAGGTAAAGATACGCTTGAAACTCTCTATCTAATATCTAAAATAATGTTAGACCTGAGGAAACAAATTCAAGGGAGATGAATAAGGTGCTCCAGAAACAGGTGCAGCGGCTGCTGCGCCTGTTTCAGCCCTCTCAGAAGTTGCCTGATTCACGGGCATTGCAACTTCTGGAATACCCTGAAAAATAGAACAATATTACAGAATTTGGCAAATGTGGATGTCATATAAATTAATTAAAAAAAGAAAAAGAAAAGAGCATACGGAATATAAATAATCCACTGCTCGCTCAGGATTGTTGTAAGCAGCTCGAAGTGCACGAGTAACAGTTTCCTTGTCCCAGTTGCCACCACCTATATCCATTATTTGTTGAATGGTCTCCTCAAGATTATTACCATCAGCTAAATTGGCAGCCTGACCATAGGTACCAGAAGGAGCACTGCAAGAAATATTACAATAATTATAAAATTATTACAATAATCAAGGGAAAAAACTGCTGAATTAGTGTTTTTTTTCCCCCCTCCCAACTAAAGAAGAAGAATCGCATAGCTGGTGCACATATGAATGCCACAAAAGCATGCAATTAAGAATCATACAACCGAAGTGAACTCAAGCTTATATTATGCACGTGTATATTGTATTTCAAGCAAGCACATGGTAGTGTTTAGGTGAACCAAGCTTTCCAATCAAATTCTGAAAAATTTAATGGTTTGAGAACTGTCCTACTCATACCAAAGTCATGATCTCAACTTTTCCAGCTTTACACAATCATGGGTGACCCTCTCCCTCTTGCAACAAAATAAAAATAATAAAAAAGCTGTAAAAAAAAAAAAGAGGACTTCTGCCCATGATCACAAAATGCAAGGACACCATATTTCAAGGAATTGGATAACCATTTTGGTGTCCTAAAGGCAGCTTAATCATTTCATCATTCCAGCATGGGCGCATATAGGACTCTTTCACTCATGTCATTTTTTTTAACTTGACATTTAGATCTTTTTACTTACCAACAATAGTAACAATCCAGAGTAATATTAATAGATCTAACCATTCAAAATAATGGCACTTCCTCCCAAATGTTCACTTTTTATCTTTAAATGAACACAAGTTAATCATTCATTGCATAAAAATCATGGCATTTTCTAAAATTGTGACACCTACCATTGTAGCATTAATCTATTAGTATTTACACTAGAGATAGAGCTCGTACTTAGCTGCTGGCACATTGGAAGCAGAAGAGTTGCTATTTAGATCCCTGCAAGGCAAAAGTTTGCAACATGAAGAGTTTGATCCAATTAACAAAACATTATACAGATATTTGTCATTTTAACTCACGGTTCTTGCACAGGAGCTTCAGAGGTAGGAGTAGGATTAGATGTTGGTTGAGTTGTAGATGCAGGCTGTTCAAACATATCCGCAAGAATTGTGCTGGTCAGAAATTACACGGAATAAGGTAATAAATGACAATGCATCATAAATACTAAGAACTATGAAACGAGAAGTACTTGGTTGGAAGAGCTCCCACTTGTACCCAAAGTTTTTGTCTGTCGATAAAACAATATAAAGAAAAGTATGTTTAGAATGTAACTTCTATATTTGGATAAACCCCAAAATATTGGTGTCTCATGCTGAATAATATCCAAGCCAACAGCAATTTTTAAAGCAATATATTCAAAGCATACACTATCAACATTCACATATTACTGTATAACATTCTAGAGTGAGAGAATAAAAAAATCATAAATTACAAAAATAGAATAAGCTACCTTGCTAAGCATGACAACAAGAAAACCATCTTCGGTGATCTTGTTCTCCACTAGAGTACTTTCATCTTTCAAAACCTTTCCATTGTGAATCAATAATTGTTGTCCACATGGATAATTGTCTTTTCCTTGTACATCTTCAATATTTTTCTTAACCGCCATGATCTACGATCACATGAAATTGCATTTCAATCAATCATGAGAACACACTTTTTTTTGATTGGCAACAAAATATTTTATTAATAAACAAAAAATACATAGAAAGTACAGTCATTAGCAAACGCGCAGGCATACACATTATGACATATAATTTATGCAATTAAAACTTTCAACACATGTAAACTTTCAACAAAGTGGAGGAGTGTGAATATAATTTCCCTATATTAAACTGTGTTGTCAAATGGTCCTACTATATTTTCCATTGCCAAAACTCCCTCTCTTCTCCATGCCTTGTTCCTACAAGTACCCATATATCCAATTACCTTTGTGACTTAACAAAGTCACCCTATAAGCGACCGCTCATACTAGGACTTCATTACCTTACTTCAAATTTGCACTTCTAATAAACACGAGTTTCAATAAAAAAATGAACACGCAAAGTTTAACAGATGTCACATTATGTGATCAATGAGTATGTACTTGCTAATTGTTATTGTTTCTAGATTTTTCTCATCCAAATTTTAGTTTCTAATCTTCGATATTTAATTTTAAAAAGGGATGCAAAAAATACAAGACACAACATGTTGGGGACACATGTAAAAAATATAATTTTATATATTTATTACATGTCATATTTTTAAATATTTAATATATATTTTATGTCAAATATTTAATTTTATCAAATCTATCAACTTTAGGTATGTTATTTTAGTAAAAAAAAAAGTCCTCAGCGTGTCCTTAATGTGTCCCTACGTGTCCGACACATGTCCGACGTGTGCTGGTGTCCGACACAATACCATCTCTTTTTGGCCTTCCCCACTTGTTCTAGTAACACCTAATCATAGCGGTAAGAGCAGTAATACAATCAAAATTGAACCCTGAATCCATATCGATCTCACATTAGTTTTTCACAAGTGAAGATCTAATTTAAGCTATGGATTTTGAGTAATTTACAAATTTGTGAACATAAAGGATCTAATTCAATCAAGATTCAGCATCTAAACAACAGCTTCACTATTCTAATGCATTTTTTTTAACCCTACGTTTGGCTGCAATTTTGAGTAATTTACAAATTTGTGAACATAAAGGATCTAATTCAATCAAGATTCAGCATCTAAACAACAGCTTCACTGTTCTAATGCATTTTTTTTAACCCTAAGTTTGGCTGCTCCGAAAATTAAGGGAATAAATGTTTCAATTTTGTTTCAGTCACTAGATATTTCTAAAATTCAAAAACAAAAGGCACTCCTAATCAAACAGGAAAAAGTTATTCCTAACCCAATATTTCTCGTTTCCCAATAAAAGGACTCAATCAAGTTCGATTCTCCTTACTTTACCTATCAAAAAGAAACATGTTTGGATGCTCAAGAAAACCAAGGAATATTACCAAACATGAAAATTACATTTTCTCTATGCAAACTTACATGTGTGTGTGTGTGTGTGTGTGTGTGAGTGATAGATTTTACTGAAAAATCACACAAATTTCATTAAATTATCTTAAAAGTCAATGAAATTTGCCTAACCAAAGCTAGTGATATTGCACGAAAGTTAGTGAAAGAAAAAGGAGAAAACATATAGAGAGAGAGAGAGAGAAATAAATGATATAGATAGAAAATTTTGGATGATAATTTATATAAAAAAAAAAATTCCCTATTCTTCTAAAATTTAAAATTCTAGGAATCTTAACACTAGCAAGTAAATTTTTAATAGGTTACAACACTAACAAAAACATTAAAAATAAGTTGAAATAAAATATTCAAAATAAAATGCATACAAAAATCAACAGAGATAGGTCAAGTTCAACAAAATTAGTTAATCTAAATGGGTCGGTCAAAGTAATTAAAGTGGGTTAAATAATTAAACACATTTATTTGAGTTTATGCATCCTTCCCGTGTCCAATTAAATTTGTATCAACTTGCTGGATTCCAAGTTATCAAAAAAAAATTTTATGAACTTCACCCATTTGTTAATTGTTCGTGGCCGTATTTATCTAACATCTATATTTTATTATATGGTTTTTTATGTATATATTTAGCCATCATTATTTGGCCCAAAGGTCAGCAGCTGCCTAGGTCGTTGGACTTTTATATGACTCAAGTTTGTATACTGGGTGGTTCGGTCTGTTCGAATGACGTTGGGCTTGGCTTTTGTGGTTTTTGAAGTGCCCGACTCATTGGTTTGTAAGAGAATTCCATTCGACCAACTCACGAGTTCGTAAGAAATTATAAAAAATATATTTGAAAAAAGGCAAAAATATTCAAAAAAACCCTAGGCTTAAATCTTGGCATATTAAGCTAAGATCATGGCCCACAAACCCATTTGGTTAGGGCTAGGATATCAAGTCTTGGTTCGCAGACCAACTTGATTCAAGTCCACCAAAAATAAACTTGTCCAGCGGGAAGACTTGGACTCTACTTTCGCAATTGGCCCAACCAGATGCCAACACTTGCTTTTCATTACCCATTTGATTTGAGATTTTATGAGATTTATTTACTTTATTGCAAACCATTCATGAATTTCAAGGTATTTGACCTATCCAATATTTATTTATTTATTTGTACACGCAACATGTAACTTATATACATGTACATATAGGAATGACAGAGAGAGAACTGGGAGATTCACGTAACAACTAACAAACAAGTGACAGGATTTCTAATCAATTTGATTCAATGAAAGGGCGAAAGATATTCTAAAAAAAACATGGACACGGACACACGACACAACACGGATACATCGACATGCCAATTTTTAAAAAAATGCTAACACACGATACGTGGGGAATACGCATGAAATATATAATTTTATATATTTATTATAAGTCATATATATATATATATATGAATATATCATTAAAAGATAATAAAAAATGCAATATGACACTAATTCCTATAAATTTATATGATTTTTCTTTTATTATTGTATCTTAAGTTGTTTTGTTCAACTTATAAGCAGCAGACACTTGTGTCCTCCTCCAAGTGTTTGAGGAGTGTCTGGGTCTTTAATAAAAATTTAAAAATAGGACATGTTTTGATGAGTGTTGTTCACATGTTCGGAAGTGTCCCGAGAGTGGTGGTATCCAACACGGACACGACACAAATACATCATCTTCTTAAAAGTGTCCGTGCTTCTTAGACTATCCTATCAACTTGATTTTTTGCATGTATGCTCTACTCGACTTATCCTAAAAAATAACAGTTTGAATCATCAAAGTGAACCCTGAAATAAGTTTCATTAACCGCACAACAATGGTTGATGTGCGCTATAACAACCACCACCCAACTCCAAAAACATGGTCACTGTAAAGAACTTTTTGGTAAAAAAATCTTATGTTCAAATAGATTTTTCCTAACATGACCAATTAACAAACGAGTTAAGTTTGGACTGACTTAGCTAGACACAAAACGAACGCACAAACTCAAACAAACCTATATAGTATTTAACAAAACACACATCATTTATGTCATAGTATTGTATTCTACACTTACCCATATTATTTGAGATTTTATTAAATTTATTTACTTGATCCCAACCTATTCACGAATTTCAAGGTATTTGACCTGTCCATTTTTCTTTTAAATTTGATAGTTAAATTATACTTTCCCCCTTTATCATTTTTCCACTTTGATTCTTGATTTTTTTTTTTCCCTCTTCATTTTGGCCCTTGATGTTTCAAGTTTTTCTTAATTTACTCTTAAAGCTAACTTCTATTTAAAATTAGACAAAAACTACCACATTAGCTGTCACCTGATATAAAAAATATCTTATTATATTGGGGTTTAGGTTCGTATTATAGATGTGAGTTATATATAATATAATATTTTTATGCCACGTGGTTGTCAATGTGTCATGCTTATATAATTTTAGACATAAGTTAGCTTTTGAAGTAAATTGAGAAAAACTAGAAATATGAAGGGTCAAAATGAAAAGAAAAGAAAAAAAATTAAAGACCAACATTAAAAAATGACCAAATATAACGAGGCAAATTGTAGTATAGCCAAATTTTATTTACGCAACCTATAACTTATACATGTACGTATAGGAATCAGAGATTCACAAAACAACTAACAAGTGGCGGGGTTTCCCATTTACGCAGCGCTGCAATAGGAGCTCGCAATCTCTCTCTCTCTCTACTTGTTGTCTCAGTTTCTCTCTTTATCTTTCTCTCTCACGAAAAATCAGAAAACAACCTCATTTTGGTCACCGTCATCATCATCAACAACAATATCAATACAATATCAATGCCATCTTAACCTTTCATTCCTCTCTATAATTTCATTCCTCTCTATAATCAATCATGAAAAAACTTTTTTTTTTGATCGGCAACAAAATATTTTATTAATAAACAAAAAGTACATAGAAAGTACAGTCACAAGCAAACGTGTAGGTATACACATTATGACATAAAATTTATGCAATTAAAACTTTAACCACACAATTTATAGTGTGTAATTTTTTTAATTTTTTTTTTTTAAAGGGTAATTAACAGTGTTCGTAAATAATAAAATTACATATTATAATACAGTAAATGGAATTGTATTTTCACTATAGTTTACTCGCTCACACTTTTTTTTTCCCTATCTTTTAGCATCTCACGCGGTCAGTTGTGAGGGCCTAAAAGCGGAGGAGTGTGACTATAATTTCCCTATATTGAACTGTGTTGTCAAATGGTCCTACAATATTTTCCATTGCCAAAACTCCCTCTCTTCTCTGTGCCTTGTTCCTACTACAACAAGTACCCATTAGAGACCGCTCGCTCACACTAGGACTTCATTACTTTACTTCAGATTTGCACATCTAATAAACACAAAAGTTTATTTATTAAAAAAAGAACACACAAAACTTAACAGATGTGGGTAATAGTCATAGGATGTGATCAAAGAGAAAGTGCCTGCTAATTACTATTGTTTCTATATTTTTCTCATCCAAATTTTAGTGTATAATCTTCAATGTTTAATTTCAAAAAGGGATGCAAAACCACAAATCCCCGAAGTGGTCAATCAATCCATGATCCATGATGTAATCAACAAAGCTTAAGGTACTAACTCTTTAGGTATAGCCGCATGAATACTTCCTCACCATATAGTTTCTCTCTTTATTTATTTATCATTATTTTTTGTTTACTCAAGATATTTGTCCAAATTGTATAAGTAACTCTAACACCCTTAGTCACAAGACCCAAGTTTTAAGCCATATAACTGTATGCTTATATATCAAGGAATTTGTGTCAGTTTGATGCAACTTATGCTAAAAAAAACTGATATATAGGGAATGGGTGCTTTTTTTTGATAGATCGTAAGTATAGGGAACGGGTGCTTTTAGCTTCCGCTTTCTAATGATCAGCTTTTAGCTTACAATAAGTTACACCAAACAGGACTGATATCATGTTGGACAACACATTACCATCTCTTTTCTTATTGCCAGGACATGAAATCTTTTTGGCCTCCCCACTTGTTCTAGTAACATCTAATCATAGTGGTAAGAGTAGTAATACAATCAAAATTGAACCCAAAATCCACATCAATCTCACATTAATTTAAGTTTTAACAAGCTATGAACTTTGACTAATTTTCAAATTTGTGAACATAGAGGATCTAAACAACAGCTTCACTGTTTTAATGCATTTGTTTTTTAAACCCTAAGTTTGGCATAAATGTTTGAATTTAGTTTCAAAGTAACTGGATATTTCTAAAAATCCAAAAACAAAAGTCACTCCTAATCAAACAGGAAAAAGTCATTCCTAACCCAATGTTTCCCATTTCCCAATAAAGAGACTCATTCAAGTTCGATTCTCTTTACTTTACCTATCAAAAAGAAAAATATTTTGTTGCTCAAGGAAACCAAGGAATATTACTGAACATGAAAATTACATTTTCTCTATACAAACGCATATATATATGTATAGATGTCATACATGTGTGCGTATATATGGAGATATGGGGGACTCACGGTATCGAAGGGTTGAACCCTAATTTCGAAGTGTCTGCCTTTCAGAGTCTTTACAGTAAGCTTCATCTCGGCGAATTTGAGGCTTTTGATAGAATGTAGAGACACAGAGATTCGAAGGAAAATGTGCAGCTGAAGTGCTGCTATGGCTTAAGTACAAAGCGGAGGTTCCATGCCGTTATACAGTAGCATCACGTCACTTGCATCTGCGTCACGGCACTTGCCTATATTTGTAAGGGTATTGCTAAGGCCGTTTTGGTAGTCGGAAAGTATCTATTCTATTTAAGTCAGATCATTTATTTAATTCACTTATTTCTTTAACATATTATTTCAAATTCAATTCATATTCAATTTATAACAATTTAAATTTTTAATTATTTTATAAAATTTATACTAATATTATTTAATCACAGTTAAAAAAATATATAATTTATTATATATTATTATGTGTAATTTTATAAAACAATATAATTATTAAAAGTTTAGGGATCAAAATATAAATAATAATAATAAATGTAGTAGTAAAATAAATGATTAATTTACTATTGATATATGATAGAGTGTAATTTAATTATGAATTAATTAATTTATATAGTTATATTAAATTATTGGATCAAAATATAATTATCTTAAATATTTATTAAAAATAAGTATGAATCTATATGATTAATGAACGAATCTGAAGAGAGAGATGCGTCGGGCCACGTGTTGGCCAACTGATGCTCTCACCTCCTTATAAATAAGGAGGTGATGATCCTCGAAAGAAGGAAAAGAAGAAAGAAAATAGTGAAAGAAAGGAAGAGAGAAATGAAGAAAAAAAATAGCGGAAGCCGAGGAATCTTTGATAGTAGAAAGAAATAGTGAGATATTAAAATTAAAGTGAATTATATTATATCTTGAGTTATCATTGTATATTTTATTTTACGTATGTTTTGACTTACCATAATCTATTTTATAAAAGTTATGTTTTATAAATTATTATGAATTATATTATTATTTCAGTTACGTGGATTATTTTCTGAACCCTACTTGTTAAAAGGAAACTCACGGATATGTTTGTTTTATGTTTTAAGAATATTTAACTACGACCTTATATACAATTATGTTTTGTAAGTACCACTATAGGAGTCTCACGCCTTCGGGGACTTAAATAACCATTGGTCTCAGTTTAGTCACTTTGTGACCCTCTGTCTGTCATGAATCCATTGACCTCTGTTCTGTGCGGAGCAAAGTGCTGTGCGGAGATAAGTGCAACACTATTGTGGGAGCCATCTCTATAGTCCGTACGAGCCACCTCTTGAATCCGTACCTCTGTTCTGATTGTTACTCCTATAACCTCTGTTCTGTTCTGTTTGGCACCGTGATTATGGTTATTTATTTACATAATTTATGTATTTCAGTTTATGCCACTTAAATGATTTGTTTACCAATGATTTATTCATCAAACTGAGTTATGTAAATGTTTTGGCCTAACTAACTATCAATGGTTATTTCATATCCCTTATATTATTGGTATAATATTTATCACTCTGCCGTGTGCTTATAGCTGTTTACCAATTTTCAAGAAACAATGCAATTCAGAAATAGTTTTTGAAAAGTCTTAGACGCGGGGTTGCGAAATAGACATGCACAACACTTTTATGATATTTTTCTATGTAAATATCGGCATTTTTTGTTAATAAATTTGTAATAAAAATAGAAGCTCCGATAATTATTTTGGTACCCTCACTTAAATATTACTTCTACTCGTATTTATCAATTTGTTTAAGAATTGGCCGGAGGTAATCTCAATTACTGGTCATCATGATGCTTAACCTTTGGATACGGGGAGCGGGTCGTTACACAATCCATATTTTACAAAAATTCAAAAAAGTGCACAGATCATCCCAAACCACCCAAGTTTAAATATTAGACTCATTTTTTAAGTTTAATGATGTAGTAATTGATTAGTATATTTAGGGTAATATTTTTTTTCATATCTTTTTAATTATCATCCAATCATATTACTTATATATTATTGAGTTTATAAAATGAATCTAAAAAGTAGGCTTGTATATCTTTTCCTTACTTGCAAAAGGAAAACTATAGAAATGAGACTTATCCCCTTAAATTTGTTTGGATGGGTGGTTGTATAAATGGATTAAATTTGTATAGTCTGGTATTCGTACAATAAATCTAAGGAGAAATTTACAATGTGTATCTTTTTAAATGATGCACATTGTAAAAAAGTTATGATTTTTTATAATGAACGTTATGATTGTTTGTGATGTGTGTTATGACATTTTGTAATAAAATTATAAATAGTGAATTTATAATGTGCACTCTAAAGTTAGGAATAATAATGTTATGACATTTTGTGATTTTTGTTATAACACTTCGATATTTGTTATGACATTTTTCAGTGAAAAAAAGTTATGACTTTTGTAGTGAAAAAATTATGACATTTTACATTTAAGTTATGAAATTTTGTGAAAAAGTTATGAAAGACATACCATACGCACATTTTTGAGGGTTCGCATTATAACATCTCCCTACATCTAATTCATAAGCTGAAAATTTGGGGTAATTTTTGAATTGATAAGGGTAATATTACTCTTTTTAAAATCCACCTTCGATCAAAAAATTTTAAAATATGGATAAATTACTAATAGATTCTAATAGTTAGATTTAATTTTCATAAATCCTATTAAAAATTAGTCCAATTAAAAGTTTAGACTTTTTTTAAACGATCGTTAAAACTTACAATTAATGACTTTTTTGTGACAAATTTATCAAACTGGCGCTGAAAATTAATAATTAGTGACGCTTTTTTAATCATGTTCGATAAAAATGTTGTTAATTATCACACGACTTATTAGATAATAAGTCCACCAAATAGGATTTACACATAAGTCCCCCAAATTTTTTTTAGAAAAATTACAAAAAAAAAAAGAAAAACAAAAAAAAGCAAAACTAAGATTTAACCCTTTTAACAAAATAAATCGTAATTTTAATTTTGTCAATTTACATTTTAATATTTTGATTTATTTTTGTTAAACAAAATTGATAGAAAAAGGGTTAATGCCCAAGTCAGTGAAATTTAACTGTTTTAATATATATATATATATATATCAGTTAATGATTAAAAATTAGGAAATTAAAAGTCAAATAAAATTTTATTGTTTCTCCAACTTTTTAACTTTGATTATATAAATTTCACTGGTTTTTACTCTAAATTAGTGAAATTTCAATGTTTTCAAAAATTTAAAAATTTCAATTAATAGCTATAATTTACAAAATTAAAATTTTATTGAATTGTTAGTGTATTAGCACAATAAAATTTCTTCGACTTTAGTGAAATTTCACTGACCTTATTTAGTGAAATTTCACCAACTCTGGTTAGATAGAATTTACTAACAAATCCATAGACATTTCATTAACTTATCTTAAGAGCCAATGTTTTATTTATTTATTTATTCATAATTGGGTGTCCGGTCAACTTACAAGCATTTTGACTAATTTTGAAAGACCAGTTTCACCATCCACTTGCGGGGATCCCATTTAAAGTCAAAGCAAATGCCCTATATGAACTGGTTTCAATGAACTTATTATAATTAATGGGTATTGACCTTAAAATCTAGAAGAAACACATTCTCAAGTCCTGAGTTGTGCCCACTAGGCCAAAGAAATTTGTCTAACTAAAACTAGTGATATTGCAAGAAGTTAGTGGAAAGAAAACATATATAGAGAGAGAAATAAATAATATTATAGACATGAAGTTTTGGATAAAAAAAATCGTTATAGGATTTTCATAAGGTTGTTTTTATTTTATTTTATAATTTATATCAAGAAAAATAATCCTTCTAAAATTTAAAATTTTAAGAATATTAACTCGCAAGTAAATTTTTAGTAAGTTACAACTCTAGCAAAATCATGTAGAGGATGTATCTATACATTTTTCTTAATTTATCAGGGGTGACAAGTTAACAATATAGATAGGTTCAAGTTGAGTGAAGTTGAGTTGTGTATTTAAATGGTTTAACCTAGACATGACCAATTAATAAATGGGTGAATTTCATACATATTTAATTGGACACGGAACGTACACATAAACTCAAATAGATGTGTTTAATTTTTTAACCCACTTTATTTATTTTAACCAACCCATTTAGGTTAACTAATTTTGTTCAACTTGACCTATCTTAATTGATTGTTGTATGATTTTTTTATTATAAATATTTTATTTCAAAATTTTTATACAATAAAACACAAATGTGAGACATAGAATGTGCCTTCCATATGTAATCCGTTATTTTACAAGACATCATTCATTTCATATCTACATTTATTCTACGATTTTTTTCTGCACACTTAAATTTGGCCATCATCATTTGACCCAAAGGCCACTCACCTAGACTGTTGGACTTTCACATGACCCAAGTGAACCTTGGGTGGTTTGGTTGGTTCGAACGATGATGGGCTTTGGTATTGTATTTAATGCCCAACCTATTGGTGTGTAAAAGGTAGTTGTTAGACCACCTCATGAGTTCGTAATATATTATGGACAAAAAATATATATAAATAAATAAAAACTAAGCTTAAATCTTGGCCTATTAGTCTAAGGTCTCATGTGACAACTCAATCTTTTATTTTAAAAATCAAAAAATTATTAAAAAAATTAAAAAATCAATAATATATACTAAAAAGTTAAGGATACGTTTTTCTCTTTACTTTTTATACATATTTTTATAAAAAATTAAAAAGTCATTTCAAATATATTATTTTTTTACTTTATATTTTAGTTAAAAAGCTAAAAAATTACTAAAATAAACTAAGCCTTATTTTGTGAAATGACATACGAATCAGTGTGGAGATCTGTTGACCCATACTGTGATTACATCCATCTGGATAGGGCTAGGATAGAAAGTCCTGGTTTGCAAACCAACCTGATTCAAGTCCAACAAAAAAAGCCCATTAGACTTGGCATGCGGTAGACTTTTGACTCTACTTCCTTGATTGGCCTGACTTGATGCCAACGCTTAGGTCAAGTTTGACAAGTTGTCAAAAAGTTAAAAAGTTACTTAAAAGTTAAAAAATTATCATTATTCACTAAAAGTTAAAAATTACGGCTGGACAACTCTCAATCTTAATTTTTTCCTACACACTAATTTATACATTTTTTAATACACATTTTTTCATAAAAAGTCAAAAAATTAATCCCAACATCCATATTTTTTTCTTCAATTTTTTAGTCCAAAAAGATAAAAAATACACTTATTTAAGACACGCCAAACAATCCCTTACTTTGATTATCCATTTCATTTAAGATTTTATTAGACCTATTTGCTTTGATCCTAACCCAATAATGGATTTAAAGGTATTTGACTTGTGCAATATTTATTTATTTATACACACAAACCTGTGCATGTACGTATAAGAATGAAAGAGATAGAACTGGAGAAATTCACATAACAACTAACAAGTGACAGGATTTTTGATCAATTGATTTGATGAAAAGACTAACTATATATGATAAACTTAATTTTTCGTAAGTATACTATAATCGAAATATCTTAAAAAATGAACAATTTGAATCATTGAAATAAAACCTGAAATAAATTCTCCCAACCATACAACAATAACTGTTGTGCATGACAAACAAATAATTATCCGATCTCCAAGACACAGTTCCTACAAAGAACTTTTGGATAAAAAAACCTTACATTTAAATAGATTTATATCGTGACCAATTAACAAACAAGCTAAGTTTGCATAGACTTAGCTGCACACAAATGCACAAACTGAAGTTAGCCTATTTAATTAGTATTTAACAAAGCACAAATTATTTGTCTCACCGTATTTTATTCTATATTTACCCATATTATTTGAAATTTTAATTGATTTATTTACTTGATCCCAACCCATTCACGGATTTCAAGATATTTGACCTCTTCATTTTTTTTTAATGAGAAATTATAAATATATTTCCTATAATTTTAAAATACCACAAATTGTCCTTTAATTATAAATATTTCTTTGTTATAATTTGTTATTTAACTAAACTAGTGAAAAAAATAAAAATTTTAACTATTTTATTATACAATAATAAAATTATCTGAATTGTTAATTGAAATATACTTATAATATCATTGAAACTTTTAATTGACTTTGGTAAATTTTTAATAAAAGAGGTCATGTGTTATACAATTAGAAATTTGAAATGGTGTAACGTAATTTCTCGAACTGAAAGGGTAATTTATATTTTAAGTGAATATCAAGGGGTATATTTATAATTTACTTTTTTTTTTAAAATAAAAAATTATAGGTAATTTACACTTTGTCCCCTTTATATTTGATTATTTTTTTCACTTTAATATTTGAAGTTTTTTTATTTTTCACTTTAACCTTTCATATTTCTACTTTTTCTCAATTTACTCTTAGATCTAACCTCTGTTCAAAATTAGATAGAAAATATCACTTTAGTTGTCACACGATATAAAAATGTTCTATTATATTGAGGTTTGGATTTGTATTATAGGCATGAGGTATACATAATAGAATATTAAATAAATTACACTCACTTCCCTTAAAATTTCTGACAATTACATTGACCTTCTCTCATTTTTATGAAATTACATTGACCTTCCTTGAGGTTTATTTTTGATTTGCAAATTCTCTCTTTCCGTTAGCTGAGCATTAGTTTGATTAACGGTTATGTTTTTTTTGAGCAAAATTAGTTGTTAAATTAGCACATAAAGGGATCTCAGTTTGATTTGTATAATATTTGAAGTGAGTGTTTGAAAATAATAATAATAAAAAAAAATTAATCAAGATTTGCATGATCCATGTAGAGTGGGCATTTTGCGTAGATGTCAGGATTAATCAAGGTGAGCGTAAGTTAACCCGGATATCCAATCATTAAAAAAAAATTCTTGAAACCAAATAAAAAAATATAAGAACTTGTATGTAATGCTATAAAAACATATATATATATATAGTCAAATTATGTGAGTATTTAGAATTATTATTTAAATAAATATATGTGGTGTTCTAATTTGATTTTTATTAATTTAGGTAATGAGACTCATCAATTTTATTTTTTTATTTTTTATTTTAAGAGAATTGATCTGTATGATGTAAAATATTAATTAAAAATTACTGAATAACTTCTTTTATATTTATGTAATTAATTTTTTAATTTGTTTCATTATCATTTTTGTCATAATAACAATGATTATTATAGAATACACACACTTTTATGTGTAACACATAAAAGTCATAATTAATTGCCACAAATATCATAATTAATTTGTTTTCAGTGACAACTTAAAAAAAAAAGAAAAAAGAGTCATGACTAAATAGTATATAAGGTATAATCAAAATAATAATTACACAGTTAATGATTATCAACAAAAATATCTCTAATGTTAAAATTACTAAACTAACTCTTCCACTACTGTTATTAGTCATAGGGGGGAGATCAGTGTAATTTCAAAAAACAGAGGAGAGACTAGTGTAATTATCAGGTATTTCAAGAAAGGTAACTGTAATTTTAGCCTCATATATTTTAAAAAATATAAAAGTCAAAAATTAAAACTAAATTGAGAAAATGACGAAAACGGTAAAGTATAATTTATTTATCATGATTTTATTAATGCACGAAACCTGTGACCTATCCATGTACGTATAGGAATGAGAAATTCACATTCACATTCACATATAACAACTAACAAGTGGCGGGATTTCCTGTTTAAGCGGCACTGCGATAGTACCTCTCTCTCTCTCTCTCTCTCTCCATCTTTTTTCCTCACGAGAAATCGGAGAACAACATCATCCTCATCATCATCATCAACAACAATATCATCAACTTCAATATCAATATCAATATCAATGCCATCTTAACCTTTCAATTCCTCTCTATAATCTCTACATATATATATGTGAAAACTCTCAATTGATATTTTTGTTTCTGTTTCCAAACATTGCTGCGTTACATTCCATCAATGGATCGACGCTCAATTCCTGTTAGTTCTGATCTCGTATCAACTTCTGCTCCAATCGAATGAATGAATTTTAAACTTGTGTTGAATTATTTTGAATTTTGTTTGTTTGTTGCAGAGGAAATCGTTCAGGATTCGGATCTGTAGATCGCCTGCGAGCTGCATTTGTGTCTTGTTCGACGTTCAGTAGCGGAAGACAAGGAGGCGGCGAAGAAGAAGAAGAAGAATAAGAAGAAGCTTTCTGTGATTATTAATGGAGAAGAAGAAGTATCCAATCGGACCCGAGCACTACACTCTTTACGAGGAGGTAGGGCAGGGTGTGAGTGCTTCGGTTCATCGCGCTGTCTGTATCCCACACAACGAGATTGTCGCTATCAAAATTCTCGATTTCGAACGCGACAATTGTGATCTGGTACATCCTTTGTTTTCAATAACATTGATTATACCTGTCTTGGAAATTTGAATTAAAATAAATCAAATAAGTGTACCATATATGTATATATTGTTATATAATCGTTATAAAATGAGAAAAATGTCTTTTTGACATTGTAATACTATTTTATCTCAGAGATGATAGATTAAAAATATAAAAATATGACATTATTTTGCTGAGACCTACCTGAGTCCATGTAACATATATTGCTTTAGAATCAGAGCAATGTATTCAAACAAGCACTTGATATATTTTGGTATTACAAGTTTGGCTGCATTAGGCAGTTTGCATTAGGCAGTTTGGCTGGCAAAAGTAGACTATCTATTTTTCCTAGACACTTTTGAATGTAAGCACTCAAAAAAGAAATTATATTTTAGCTAGCTATTGACTTATCTGTTTTTTCAAAAGAAAAATGCTATATGCAAGCTAAAAGATGAATGGAACACGTTGTCCACAATAATTTATGCTAGTTTCATGAAACGCCAACAAATGGACAATAGAGAATCCTTTGTGGACAGAGCATTCTGAGAATTTCAACCCACATTGCTAAATTTCTAGGAAAAAAATTCAGCAATAAACATAGATTCATAGTCGGAAAGTGGTAGGGGAAGATTGACTCCCCTGGTTAACAGCTTCAGTGGTAAAATTGTAGTCGGTCCCACTGTTCATCAGGTTTGTGTAATACGCATTTTATTGATGATCCATCTACAGATAATAAGGAAATTAATTTTTGTAACAAATATGTAAGACAATACCCACAGCAAATCAGCATCAACACTCAACAAGGTCAACATTTGTTTAGATCAATTATAAGATGTATTGCTAAATTCCCAAAATATACGACTGTGTAGCACTGCATCTAAACCATAAATAACCAGATCAGGTAATGAGCTTCCAAAGAATTCTAGAATCAAATAACACAGCACAACCAAGAGTTTTTAAGGAAACTAGTTCCATTTGAATAGATACCAAGACTCTAAAATGCAATTCATAGTGAGATAAAGAAATTGATTTCATCGCTTGTTCTTGCAAAGAAGCTAAATTAATTTGCAGACATTCACCAACCAAGGTTATTACATCAATAACAAGCATCGGACTAAAATAGTAGGATTTAAAGTCTAAGCCTCAAACCTTAAAAGCTTGCACATACAAAAGATCACGAAAAGAGCAATAAAGAGTTACATCATACAAAAACAATGTATAATGTATTTGAGTAGATTACATTCTATTCTATTCCCAAGTCCAGGATAAAAAAGAAAAAAGATAAATAAGGATAACTTGAACAAATGTTATTGAGCAAATGTATAATGTATTTGAGTAGATTACATGCTTAGAGTGCTTGCAAGGAGTGGGTGTGAGTTCAACTTCCCCTAGGTGCTAATCTAACAACTAATCACTAACTTTTGCCGATCAAAAAGTAAATTACATGCTTAGATGAGGCAGAGTTGATTTGATTGCTGTATTTATTTGCGGGGCCATGTAGCTGCACTGTTTGCAGAGCCTCCAAGGGCTCTTGAGTTTAGCTAGTGGGGAAGGCATGAAGTAAAATAGTCAACCCTTCACCCAACCTATGGAGGGTCAAAGTTGGAGTGAGGCTGGATAAAATACTTAACTTGGCCAATTTAGACCGCTTGTTGGAGTTGCTTTTAGGGTTTGATATCAAGTTTGGGTTTGAGGTACTAATTTTGAGAATTTGGTGGGGGGTCACTGCCTATTCAGCCATACAAGCAATATAGACCAAGGGCTTTGTACATGAAATAAATAGAAAAGACATGTACCTTTCTCGGCGAAAATTATTTGGTGCTCATGAGACAATGCTGCAGAGGGTATCCACACCATCAATTGGCACCAATTAATGGTGAGGATGCTCTTTGTGGCATTGCCGCTTGGGGTAATGAATAACTTCTTAGTAAACATTTTGTTTTTTACGTGGTCATAGGCTCCAGAGCTTGTGTAGAGTTCATCTATATGATATTATACAACCATTTATAATTAGAGTTGTATGAAATGTATATTTTTTTTGCATATAATTAGAGTTGTATAAAATTGTATATATTTTTACATATAATTAGAGTTGTATAAAATGTATATATCTTTACCCATGGCTACGTTTGTTTGGCGGATTAGGTTGGATGAGATTGTTAGTGAAAGGATTGTTAGTGAAGAGATTGTTAATGTGGGGATTGTTAGTACAGGGATTAAGTAAAAGTGTGTTTGTTTTGATGATAGTATGAGAGATGATTAGTGATGGGATTGTTAAATTATTTTTATATAAAATAAATAAACAAATTATTTCTATACTAAAACAAATTAGAAAAAATATTAAACCAAACAGGTGCACTTGGTAAAAAAAATAAAATTAAAAAAATAATTTTTTTATATAAAATAGACTCAATCCTCTCATTATTTTCCTAATCTCACCCAAAATACAACCAAGCTAATCCCTCTATGTGAAGGTATTCATAGTCTCATGGGACTACTAGTCCCCTTCTATTTTTGTCAACCAAATATGGGTTATGTAGGGCTTACAGGATTGATATTCCAATCCCCCTACCTATGGAGCCAAACAAACATGACCATACAAACATGTTAGTATTCATTAGTGAACACATGGGGCGGGCAGGGGCCATGGCCCTCCAAACTTCATAAAAATCTAATTAGCCCCATGCTATTTTGAGTATTTATAAAAGAAATCAGCATTTTGACCCCCAAAATCCAAATAATTTTATTTAGGATCATCCAAAACCTAAATAATTTAACCTTAGTCCCCCCTGCAAATTTTTGGGTCAGTCACTATTAGTATGTGTAGATACGTTTTGGATATGCATACAATTTTTGTACAAGGCTAAGCCAAGAGAGAATATAGCTATTTGAAAATGGTAAGTAGACTTGTTAATTAGTTTGTGTTCCTTATCCCACCAAAAACAAGACTTGTGAATTATTTCATTGAATTCTCCTTGGTGTTTCTTCAGCATCTGCCACTAGCATTGGGACCATATGAACAAACACAAAAGTAAAATTAGGACTTTATACTTAGATTACAATATCACTCAAAATGCCCAAAGTGTGGATTAAGGAAATGGTTTGCTGTCTCATTTAGTGGGCTTAATTATTAAGGTATTTGGTATTTGAGAAGTCGGATTATATGAGACAGGAAAGAAAATTGAATTTTGCTATATGTTGTGTCTGGAAACTGAAAATCTCAGCTCAAGTACACCACATATGTTACCATCCTCAGTTGAATAAGGCTTTCAGGTTGCTTGGATCCAAAAAAATTAACATAGGAAGACTAAAAAAAGTTTCAATTGCTTCTCTTTTCTTACACTTTCCAATTTATCAAATGGAGAATAATTTCTTCTGCCGTACTTTTGTCTGTTCCACGACTCAATCTTATGTTGACTATTAAAAGAAAATTATGTTGATAACTAAATAAGTTAAATTAATAGTCATAAAAAATAATGAGCTATGATGATTGTAATTGTCTCCTATATGACTTTCAGATTCAGGTTATCTGCTTTTTCACCTTAACATTGGTTTTTTTAATAGTGAGCTTTGCCTATTGTTAATTTGTTTCATGACATAATGTAGTTGTTTTGACTCATTTTGCTGATTTTCTTGTAGAATAACATATCTCGTGAAGCACAGACCATGGTCCTGGTTGACCACCCTAATGTTCTAAAATCACATTGCTCATTTGTAAGCGATCATAATCTGTGGGTTGTCATGCCATTCATGGCTGGGGGTTCTTGTCTCCACATATTGAAGGCTGCTTATCCAGATGGTTTTGAGGAGGTTGTTATTGCAACAGTATTGCGTGAGGTATTGAAGGGCTTGGAGTATCTTCATCATCATGGACACATTCATCGGGATGTCAAGGTGAGTAGTTTGATTTTAAATTTGTTCCAAATGTGTTATAGTTGGTTCCCACACTATTTGCTCTTCTCAAGTAATTGCGTTCAATCACATCATTATGCTCAAATGACATGTAGGATTGTGTTAATTACTACTTCAAAGTTGTAATGTTTGCCTTCAATAAAAATACATGAATGTTTTTTTCTTCTTGGGATAAACTTAACCTTCCTAACACGCTTGATAGAATTGAAATGCCACTCTGATAGCATTTGTAGGTAGTGGACTTCAAGTAACTCTTAAAAGTTATGGACAGTGTATTAAAGTGTTTATAAGTGACTAATTTGGTTTGTTTAGTGTGTAGTTTCCTAAGCAATTTGCTATTTTCCACATAGTTCCATCCTCATATTACAATTACTATAATGTATGAAAGAAAAGATTGTCATTGTGGTATACTTTGTGTTCTGTAAACTATTTAAACTAAAAGCTAGCAGAGGATTACATACAGGTTAAAACACACACATGCAAATATTTTTGCAAGATATTGGGTGGGTATACTTTACATAGGTTTAAATTTTGTATTTTGGGAGGTGACATCCCTCTGTTTTCCCACCAAGCTAATTTACAATTCATCCGAGCTTGTCTATGTGGGGTACTTGTACCACATCTGACATGTGGTGAGCCCTACGGGCACCACATCTGACATGTGGTGAGCCCTACGGGCACCACATCATCATCACCTTATCCCATGTAGCAGGACTCCGAGGCACCACGTTGTCCTCGTAGGACTAATGAAGGCTGTATCCCTAGTCTAAGTAAGGGCATACATGCCACCAAGTATGGATACTCATCTCACTAGAGTGGCTACCGTCCTAGTAGGCAAGAGTTCTAAGGCAAATGAGTCAAAGTATGAAGAGCCTGACATGGCTTGCTTAGCAGAGCCAAGCTCTCTCGGCCATGGCTCACTTGGCAGCACCATGGCTCACTCAGATAGTGGCTCGCCATGGTCCTTCGTACCTTATTCTATTAGGGGATGCCTGGGACTGACTCTCTCCCTACGAGTCACTTCCACTTAGCTATAGCATAACTGGGCCTTTGGCTCACCTCTGTCTCTGCTATGCGCTCACTTGATGGCAACATAGTTGGGCCTTTGGTTCATTTATGTGCTCATTTACTCTACTTAATCACTTGACTGCCTAGGCTAGGAGCAGGGCCTAGGCATCCCCTGTTCGGGATCATTTGAGGATTGTGGATTAGAGGTTAGGTTCATTAGGTTTGTCAAGGTTGCTTGGTTGTCTCCCCTATGATGACAACACCACCTTGACTAGTCTTAGAGAGAGGGGATGTTGACCTTATACTCAAGCATGTTGCGTACATGATACACTCCCCGAGATATCATACCTACCTTAGCTCCTAAGATACAGCCTTCCCAAGGACCCGGGAGAGCAAAGTGTTAATGGCACATGAAGTGCATGCAAAATGGGCAAGAAGAAAAATAATTGTGGAGGAGAAGCAACCGAGTTCATTCCCTTCCCTTACTGGGCCCAAAGTAGTGTACTTTTTCTTGTCAAAGTCAAGGATATGGGGCTTAAATCATAGGACACAATAGCAGGGCTGATATCACATTCCTGTCGAGTTAAGGAGAGCTCACCACCTATATATCCATAGGTTGCTTGGGTTCCAATACTCATGAATGCAGCCGCACACACAACAACACTATCAATCATAATCATATAATAACACAGAACAAGATTGGAGCTCTTGTTTTATCTTGCATGTAAACCGTACAACCCAATTGTCAAGGTCTCTCACTGCCACCCTCTCTACTGCTACGACTTCCTTGGTCCTCTATTCTTCCTTCATCTCCGGTGATCTTGAGCCATTGAAGTGCCCGCCATCTTTCCAGAGGTCCATAACTGACCAGCTTTAACTTTCCTCACCCCCAGTCTTCCAAAAAAATTTTAATAAAAAAAGAAAATTCCATCCTGAGCTATTAGACAGATCTACCCTAGTCGTTTTTAGATGTTTTAGTTGGTATCTTTCCATTTATGAGCTTTACAAGAAGAGAAACTAATTGGAAATTGCTTCCTTCACTACTTTTCATGCTTAGCTTCTCTATTCCTTAATTTATACTAAAACCAACTTATAGGATTCCTAATTACTTAACTCATTTTCTAAGTTAATCAAACCTCTATTCCTTAAGGTCCTATGATAATAATTTCTCTAGCTATAAGTAAGCTAATCCAAGCTGGCTGAGAAAAGCCAAACAGGATGATCTCTTAGACTTAGTGATGTATGCAACGTCCTGATACCTAAATAGCCCTGATTTCAAAAGCAACACTGATCTACTTTTAATCTTAGGCTATCAAATCATAATGTGTCCAAGCAATTTAGCTGGATGCTTAGTAGGATAAGTATAGGCTACTGCTGACCTCTGTTAATAGAATCTGCGATTTGATTCACAAGTTATGGATAATCAACACGAATCTACGGGTGAATCTATTTTTGAGACTAAATCTATAGGGAATTGTATGCTTCATGATCTATTAATGATTCAATTAACTTTTTACAATTCATAAAAGTCTTGGAACTATCATGTCCAACATATTTCAACTTTTTTTACCTCTTTTTTTATTATTTATTTTTATAGTAAAAATGACATAATACAACTTTTAAGAGAGTTTTAGTATGAAAATAATCTATGTATGATTTGTTGTTATTGTGGTGATCAAAGGGTTTTTAATAGAATCTGATTAGGTCAAATCAAACCCAATATGATTTCCTCATTTGTTTTTTCTAAAAAAAATCATAATATATTTTCTGAGGATGTTTAAGGTTAAAGTAACCTGAACCCATGAATTATCTACTGATATTTTAGTGAAATAAATATAATTCAATATTGCATGGGTTAGGTCGGTTAAACCGAATGGTTACACAACACATTTTATTATTATTATTATTATTTTCTTTCTTATTATTATACTCTATATAGGATTCTTGGGTTCAGTTTTTTAATGTCACTTGAGATTATACTATGATTTTTGAATAATTTTATGGTTGGTGGGATTTGGGCCCATATCTTGCTATGAAAGTAATGTCTTCCCAATTAGACAATGTAATCATGTCCTTATGTAAGAACTATTTTATAACATGTGCCAAAATCAATTTATTTCATTTTTGTCATATATGCAATTGTTTAACATTATTTTTTTAGAGTTTGTATTGAATCTTAACATTTCTTGATTTGATTCAATTCACTATTTGCAAAATTAGGATTCCGATTCATGATTCTCGATTTGAGAACTATGTTGCTGACCAATACAAGTAAATTTAATAAGAAATAGGACACCTTTGAACTTCTTTAAAAAAAAAAACTTTGTGCTAACTATTGTATTATTATCTTTTGTTTTTATAGGCTGGAAATATTCTTATTAATGCACGTGGTGCGATTAAGCTTGGAGATTTTGGTGTATCTGCTAGCTTATTTGATTCAGGGGATAGGCAACGGACAAGGAATACATTTGTGGGGACACCATGCTGGTATGCCTTTTTTTTTACTTTATCTTTTTACTCATTCCACAATTTCCTAGGTTTATTTGGTCATATATTTGGTGGGTAATCTTGATGACTGCTGGGCCCTTGCCAATTCTTAGAAAAGGTCATCATTAAGTGTTCTCTTAAACGTCTTCAATTATAGCAAGGACTTTACAGTTATACCAGGAGGATCCAATATTGCATTGTTTACAATTACATCTCAATACAGGTGGCCCTTGCATCAGCTGCCTTGTTTCTGTATCTAAGTATTCCTTAACTACTATATGTGTCTTTGTTTTGCAGGATGGCACCTGAAGTTATGGAGCAATTGCATGGCTATGACTTCAAGTCTGTCTATATGCTTCTTACAAGTGTTCCTTCTTTTCATCCTAATTAAATACTGTGACATATTCTTACTTTGATTATTTTTCTGCAGGGCTGATATCTGGTCTTTTGGCATTACTGCTTTAGAGCTTGCCCATGGCCATGCTCCTTTTTCAAAGTATCCTCCAATGAAGGTGCATACATCATATGCAATCACATACTTTTATCTGCATCTTTGATTGAAGTATTGGCTTAATTACAATCTGAAGCTAATTCACAAATGGCAGGTATTACTTATGACCTTGCAAAATGCACCTCCTGGCCTTGATTATGAGAGAGACAAGAAGTTCTCTAAGGTAAAGTGCCAATAAAATGGTTGTGATTTTTAGCTTGGTAGTTATCATGTAATGCAATTTTTTTCCTCTTCTTTTTCCTTAGTCTTTTAAGCAGATGACTGCAAGTTGCTTGGTAAAAGATCCTTCAAAACGGCCTTCTGCAAAAAAGTTGCTAAAGCATTCCTTCTTCAAGCAAGCTAGATCTAATGATTATATAGCGCGGACGCTTTTGGAGGGGCTTCCCGCTCTTGGTGATCGTCTCAAGGCCTTGAAGGTCAATATGTTACTTTTTGTCGATATGGTTTGGCTACTGATGAGGCTATGTGCTATTCCAATTTTGGTTCTTTGCTAATCAGTGTGCAATATTATCTACAGAGAAAAGAAGAAGATATGCTTGCACAAAAGAAAATACCAGATGGACAAATGGAGGAAATGTCACAGGTTTGAATTTTTGGATCCATTCCTAAGATGAATAGATATTGAGAATTTGCTGAATTTGGTTGCAACATTTTTTGTTATGGTTCTCTTATTATATCTCATTTGGTTGGTTGTTTGGTATAAAATTTTTGGTCTTTGGTGGTTGATAGTATGTTTAGATTCTTTTGTCTTCAATTTCCTCTCAGAGCTAATTAGTACATGTGCACTTTACAATTATTTTAGTCTAATTGGTGAATGTGAACTGTCTGTCATAATCGTTTTACATCTGTTAAATGGCACTGGCTGTTATGATAATTATGCAGTCTAGTGATTCCTTTAACATCTAACAAATTTTTGGATATCCAATTCATGTTGTGTTTCTTTCTTCTACTGTGAAAATCACCACATGTTCAGCTGATGTATTCTTCTAAAACACGTGGGCTTTTGATTTGTAACTGTCACTACTTATTTGTATATTTAACATTCCTGGATTACATGATCCCCACTCTTTCACTTCATTGTGTCAGGGGGTATCACAAAATCTCAATGATGCAGAAAGTGAGTAACATTTAGAGACATGATAGAAAATATGCTACTTGTCAGCTCTGCATTTTTTGTTTTACCCTTTTTTTCTTTTCTCTCATGCGTCATTTTTTAAATGGGTCAATGGTCATGCCCTGGTTGGCATGACTATTTCTCTTTGTTAAGGACAATTTGTCATAAGATGTCCTCTTGCTGGATTCTATCCTTATTGTGTGAGCATGCTCTGACTCAGGCAGTGAGTAGGACATTAAATACAGTTATTATTGATTGGGGTTAGAATTAATTTGAAGCCCTGATTCCAAAATGCGTGGTTATGAAATTTGAACCCGCAATGCTATTGTCAAGAACTTTTGATTAGTAAAATAAAGCGTGGCCAACGTAACACTTCCCAAACATGGCAGGTTGTTAACAGCTTGCTGATTTGATAGATCTCTTTTTCTGTTATATTGTTACTGCTTGTGGTGGGATTCCTGTCAATACTGTTCTAGTTTTTGTTCACAGAATATTCTGTATGCAGGATTGTTTAAGTTTAAAGGTAGGATCTTTCTATGTTATACCTTGCCGTTTCTTATATTCATTTTTGCGAATCATGTGTAGAATGAATACAAACGAGGGATTAGTGGTTGGAACTTCAATCTTGAAGACGTGAAGGCTCAAGCTTCCTTGGTAGAGTAACTAGCTATTTCTTCTGTGCATCTTTTCCTTTCTGAATCCATTGAGCTATTGTAAATTTAGGTTTACTAATCAACATTTATTTTGCTAGATCCAGGATGAGGACATTATATCTGAAAAAGATCTGGGTGGAAGCTCAGTTAGTTCTTCTGGGCTTGACCATGAAAAGGAATTGCAGCATCAGTTGTCTTCAGTGAGCTACTGTTCACAAGTTTCAGATATAGTATGTTAATACTCTTTGCATGGTTTTCTTTAGTGAAACGTGAGTCTTTCTGCAGTTCCTAACGATATGGTACTTCACAGGAAGATAATGATCTGATGCAGAATCAACCATCTTCTCTATCAGCCGACGCAACTCTGACTAATGCGTTGTATGTCTTCTTGTTGTAGATCGTTCAATCATATCTTTTCCTCTCAAATTGTCCTGCGGTTATATGTTTTGAGATCTATTTACACATAATTTGCTTACTAGGAGTTCTATGATATGAAAGAGTGGTGCTGGTGCTAAGACAAATTTTAATGTTCATTTAATATATTTGTTTCTTATGACCTTTGCATGGGCAAGGTTGTCAGTCTGTATAAACGAAACTACAATTTTGTTTTTATTTTCCAGAACTAAATATGAGAAATCCGATGATGATGCAAGCATTGCTGGTTCAAACCATGAACACCAAGTTTTACAAAATTCTGCCTCCTGTTTTGAGGATAATGTTGAAAATAATTTGTCTGGAAAACCTGGCTCAGATGTCAGTGGAAGAAACGTTGACGGCATGGCTGTGCAAGGTCATCAGAGGAGGGGAAGTTCATCAGGCAATATCATTTTTCCAGATGGTTGTGTTCTCCCAAGCAAAGGAGAGGGGTATGATAATGATATTTATAACTAACTTCTATAAGCTTTTGGATCTATTCTTGAAGTGTTATGTTTTATACAGTGGTGAAGTGTTCTGTTTTAGATAGTGGAGGCTATAGTTTGTTCTGATATCATTTGGGAGCAGCACTATATTAGCAGTATACACTAGTCAAATTTGGGAATTTACAATTTTTGTGTGTCTTACCTTTATGCATACCTATTAGTTCTGTGGCTAAAGTCACTAGCAAATTCATGTGCTTCTGATGATTTAGTGCACAAGTTTCAACCTTCATCCTGAAAGCTTATTGTTGAGCATCGAATTATGGAGCTTTGTGTATCACCCATGATAGAGGAATGGCTCAGTTTATTTTCCATAGAATTTGCAGTCCTTAAAATTGTGTAACAATGAATTATAAATGCATACATAGAAACTGTGACATAAAAAGGAGAAAGAAAAGAAAGTTCAATGATGTTTTGCACGAAAACCTATAAAGAGGTATAGTCATTTGAAGCGCTAAGATAATAAAGTGGACTCCGTTTTGTTTTGCCCAATGGATTAATTTTGGAGTCTAGAAGTAGGCCAGTGACCTAGGAGTACTTGCGCTGACAAAATATATAGTGTGTGGGTGAAGACTGTAGTACAGTGTCAGTAGGGTTCATCTCAGCCCATTTTTGCTTACATTTGTGATTGGTTGAGAATCAATATATCGTTATGGAAAAAGTTCAACATTGAGTCTTTCTTCTATTAGTACTATGGATCAAATTCCATTCTTGAGCATTTTATTGCATATCTATACACAATTATATAGCTCTCTGGTATATTAAATACCTATTTCAGACACAATTGTATTGTTCTCTGGTATATTAATTCAAATACCTATTTCACACTTCTACTGGGCACATAATTGTTATTGTTATTGTTACTGAATTGGACTCTCTGTTTCTCTATCTCTCTTCATTTTTGCATTTTTAAAAACAATAATCAAGAAATTTCACTTCTTATCATGTGTCATTATCATCATGATGCAATCCATTGTGAGTTTCTAGTGAAATTTCTGCAATTTTCAGTGATAAATCGCAAAATCAGCTACAAAACATGTCGAGTTGCAGTGGAGCTCCTGTTCCACAGGCATTGGACGATGCACCTCCTGAAATTCTGTCTAGAGCTTCTAGAACTTCAGGCAAGTAAACATAATTTTTCTCAATTCTTAGTTCCTAGAGAACTTACTTTCATGTGCAAAACTACGTTGACTTCATTTGGCTGATCATATTGGCTTCTATATGGTGTCAAACACATTTTTTGTGTTTTCATCTAATTCAAATTTTATTGTGGACAGTAAACAGTGAAGAGCTTGATGACAAGGTAAAGCCACTTGTTCAACAAAAGGGACGTTTCAAAGTAACCTCTGAGAATGTCGACTTAGAAAAGGTACATTTTGCCTTTTGTACCCCATGGCCCTGTATACTACTGTTCAGAAGGATAACATTCACCATTTCTTGTCAGGTGGGACCAAATCCTTTGATGCAAAAGAGTCACAGCATGCAGGTTTGTACTTTTCAAGTCAACTCAGTCACTAAGAGTATTAGTTAAAATAAATGGTAAATTACATTGACACCCCCGCCATAATAGAAAATGTCACTTGGCATCAGCTATTATGTGAAATATCATTGTCCTCCCTTCTCTGAGTTATTAGTCAAATAGGGTTAACTGTATTTATGAATTTACCCTCTTACCCTTGCTCTTTTTGAAAACTATTAAATAAAATGATGATAATATTATAATTCTTATAAAATTAGTCAGATTAATTTAACTCTCTCACTCTCTTATCTTCTTCATTTTCTGTCCTTTGTTTCGCACTCCTCTTTCAATGTTAACTGAGTAATATCAGTCTAATTACTGATGGCCGCTACCACCATCACCACCATTAACCTTACATTGATCCTATCCCTCACCACCAACATCATCTGAACCCACTACCGCTTTTAACTGCATTGATTAATCCCATCTAAATCCAGCAACTAGTCCCACCACCCACACCACTAACACCATTGCAGTTGCACCACCACCCCTGTTATAGATCAGCAGGTGCACACACATGTCCAACTAAAATAACCATTTTGCTCTCTAGCAGAAGTCTAATTCAGGAGGCCAAATCAGTCTTTGAATAATCAAACCCATATTGGTCTGCTGCTTAAGAAGGTGACTGCTGTTGCTATGGCTTATGGTGGGTCACATACTATTTAATTGGGTCATTCTGGTGGTTTTGGAGAGGTGGCTATGGAGTTTATAGCTTTAGTAGCTTTGTTTTGGGTAGAAAGCATATGCATGGCATTTCCATTGATGGTGAACCTGGTTTGATTTAATGAAGATGGTTTTGGTTTGATAAGGTGAATAAGATGGCCTTGACAATAGTGATTCCACGTTGGGTCTGCAATGGTGGGTTTGGTGATCCAATGGCAGGGTTTCCATTATGGGTTGGATGTTTCGAGCTACGTTGTAGAGCCCCCTTGGTGGTTGCACTTAAGTGACCGAGTTGGTTTGGATCAAGTGCATTGAGGTTGACTGAGTTAAGTGGGTTCAAAAGATAACAGAGAAAGAGAATGTGCTATGTTGAAAAGTTGACTTTTGTATGGGCGAATGGGTATTTATGAAATTATTTTTGCTAACATCTGTTATTTCTGTTAGGTCAACAAACGACTAACTCATGAAAGAGGGAATTTGTTACTCAAGGGTGTGCACTGATATTTCACATAATAGTGGGAGCCAAGTGATATTTTCCAATTGTGAAATGGGTGTCAGTCTAATTTATCTTAAAACTATTCTTTTACGTGATTGTGTTTTAGTGGTAGACATCTCTCTCTGGCAATAAAATTTCTCTTTGATTGCACCTGTTATGTAAGGTTACAATAACCGGTACTACTTTATTTGCTGGCTTTCTAGTTAGTAAACCTATTTGCATGTAAATCAAATTAGACATATATATATGTTCTTCTGTGGGTGTGTACACATTTGAGCATTTTTTTAATTAGGAACTCAATGCAATAAGGTGGGAAATGAGGCACATATAAAGTATCAAAATTTAGATCTGTTTAAGTTCCATGCATCATGCGTGTAGTTTAGTAGTCCAGAAATTGGATTTATTTTTATCGAATAAAACTCATTCCTTTTCCTCACTTTGTTTTACGTCTATTTATAGTGATATTTCCAAATGTTTCTTTTTGCTCAATTTCTCTCAAAAGATATTTGACACAAAAGATAGTTTTTTGTGATTATTGTACTGCTTTTAAAACTCCTTTTGGATTTAAAATTAGTACTTTAATATAACTTTCACTAACTTTGTGTTATTTCAATAAATTGATTTCAATACAACACCCAAATCCTTTACTGGTTTAATTTCTTCTAATTGCTTTCCTATGTAAAGATAAAAATTTGACTCTTTTTTATATTGAGCTCATTTCGTGGCTCATTTCATTGCTTAAAAATTGTTACAAGTGTTTCTTTCCATATATTTAGAAGCAATTTGGTGGTTGCAGATTCTAGCACTGGTAGCATCACATAAGGTGGAATACAGAATAATTTAATTGTATTTTATTTTATAAAATAATCTTATGGAAATGATATGGGTTATGTAGGTGCTTACCCAACATCCCAGCACTCCTTGTCTATCACCTACTGAGGCTACACCCGGCCATAACCTTTTTCCGACATTGCAGTCTGTTCTGCAAACAAATATTCTTCAAAGGGTAAAGCTTTAACTATATTTGTTCGACCTTTTTGTGTGTTAATTTTTTTAGAAAATTTTATTTGTGATTTTGTTATCAACAGGAGAGTATACTTAGCCTAATGAAGCAAATCTCCACTGGTGACTCTACAGGTGTGATCAATCACTTCCTCTTGAATTTGCATTTAATTTATTCAAATATGTTGGTCTTACTTGACGTGCTCAACCAACTGTGCAGTTGATGGAGGAGGTATGCCAGTGAATACAACTGTGATGGAGAAATCATTGGTATGTAATGGTATATGGTGTTATCAGCCTACTTGAAACACTTTTTAAAAATGTTTTCTTGTTTTCTGATTTTTTTTTGTTTCCCCTCTTTTATAATGTATCTTTATTTATTATTATATGTTACATGTATAAGATAGTTTTTCAGTATCTGTTATACATTAGTAAAACTAAGTTATGGTCCAAAAACCATATTCAAAGTGAGCACTAAAACAGACATTGTACTGCAGTTAGGTCTTCCAAGAATGTTACACAGGTTTTAGAGTTGAAATTAATTATAACTTTAACAAAATAATCAAACCCATATTGGTCTGCTGCTTAGTGCAGTGGTGAAAGATGGAGTCTAAGGGCTTCAACTTTGTGCCCGAAAAGAAAACTACATGATTGAAACTAATTTTGTGTTTGTATGCTGTCTAGCCCTCCCAGCACATGAATCAAGGGGGGGTCAAAGTCCAAAATTAAAAAATGAGGGTCTAAGTAAAAAATTAAAAAATTTGGACAAAGTATAACAAAAGAAATTGGTTTCTCATAACTAGTGTTGATTTCAAGCCCTAGCCTGTAGAGAAGATGAGGAGGTGGAAGAAGAGTTAGCAAGTTACTTGATCGCATTCACTGAGATAGATGTTGTTTGGGGTTTTAATGTCTATATTGTATTCCATAAAAAGTACTTTTAATAACATAAAAGACCTTTACGCACACTCAAAATGCCTCACTGTAGTTGATAGACCGTCTTAAAATTTCTATCTTTTGTAACTCAACATGGATCCGAGAAAATATGCTTATCTATTTTCATCTCATTTTCTCTTTTTATATTGGTAAAAATATGTTTTCATCTCATTTTCACTTTTTCTATTGGTAAAAATTGATGTTGTAGACTTGCAGTTCATACTTCCCTTTTAATTTTTTTGTTAGTACATGTTCGTCCCCCTATATTAGAATTTTGGGTCCATCCCTGGCCTTAGGCACCCTTTGCATTGTGTTTTTAGCAAGAGTATTTTCACCTTCTATGATTGTTCATGATGGAATGACAATCTTGCTAAAATTAACCTGATTAATTAGTATACAGTGTTTCTTGAATCATTTTGAGCTTCAATATTTGTACTAAAATTGTGTGATCTTACATTGGCCAGCCCCGTAAGATAGTTTGACTTCGTATGCTTCTTGATTTAACAAGAACATGCTGTATGTTTGTTGTTCGGCTGCAGCTAGAGGCCGCTCATGACAGGGAGAAGGAGCTACTTCATGAAATAACTGATTTGCAATGGAGGTATTCATAACCACAAACACACACCATTTTACATCACAATTTCATTGTGATAGAATTATATATATTTTGAACATTGTATTTAATTTTAATTTTTTAAATGCAGGCTAATATGTGCCCAAGAAGAGCTTCAGAAATATAAAACCGAACATGCTCAGGTTTGACCTTTGATTGAATACTTGTTTCTCATTATAAATTCTGGCATTTTTTTTTCCTGAACAGATTATTTCAATTTTTTGTGGTTGTGTAGGTTTGTTTTAACTTTTACTAGGCCATGAGAAACCGACTGCGTAGCTCCACCGATATATCCTGGACCTTGGTGAAATTATTCTTGTACATGATCAATATTATTTTTTTCACAAAGGCTTGTAATATATTGTCATTAGACCTTTTGTATTTAGGATTTTCTGGCAAATTGCTATTTCTTCTTGTTTGTATAATTTTTCTTTCTTTGTCATTTATTGTAGTATTAATTTAAAGTTTGCTTGAAAGGTTCAAGTTTGTATATTTTTGGCTATATGCGAAGCTCAACTTGGTTTATCATTTTCCATCCCATCATTCCTCCAACCCTGCCCAGCTTGGGGTGGTTAGGGGCGGAGAGAAGGGGTCAGGGTTCTGAACCGTCCAAAATTTTATTAAAGTTCATTTTAATGATTTTAATTTTCTAAATTTATTTTGTACCCATGCAATGAACACCTTAACTTAATTTGGCACCCCTAACTTTTTTCTGAAAACCTATTGTGTATAAGAAAATTTAAAGTAGGGATCACCCCTAAAAAATTATTCCAATATCTTCTGTTAAAAAGTCATTGCTCAAAGTAGGGAAACTTTAACCGTGTGTTAAAATTGGGAAAATGCTGCACCGAATTGAATCCCTTGAGTTTTGTTAATTAAGGAATTGAAACGAAAATTATTGAGCTAACCAATCAATCCCATGTCCTCAACGTGTTTTGAAAACACCTTTACAGAAAGACCTTTGGTCATGGGATCTGCAATCATCATATCGGTACTAATATGCTCAATGCTGACTTCTTGCTTCTTAACACGGTCTCGAATAGCAAGATACTTTATATCAATATGCTTGCTGTGGCTACCACTTTTGTTGTTGTTAGAGAAGAAAATCGCAGCTAAATTATCACAGTAAACCTTTAATGGCCTAGAAATTGAATTCACAATTCAAAGCCCTGTGATAAAATTCTTTAACCAGATAGCCTGTGAGGTTGCTTCAAAGCAGGCTATAAACTCTGCTTCCATTGTTGACGATGCAATTATCGTCTCTTTAGCGCTCTTCCATGAAATAGCACCACCTGCTAGCAGATAGACATATCCTAAAGTGAATTTTCTGGAATCTTGACAACCCGCAAAATCCGAGTCTGAATATCCAACCACCTCAAGACAGTCAACATGCTTGTAAGTAAGCATGTAGTCCTTGGTTCCCTTTAAGTACCTCATGATTTTCTTTGCAGCCTTCCAATGTTCCATTCATGGATTACTTTGGTATCTTCCAAGCATTCCAACTGTAAATGCAATGTCAGGTCGTGTACAAACCAAAGCATGCATTAAACTGCCTATGGCAGACGCATAGGGAATGCTAACCATTTGTTCCTTTTCCAAATCATTCTTCGGACATTGACTTAAACTGAATTTGCCACCCTTTAAAAGGGGTGCTGCATTAGGAGTGCAATCACTTATCTTGAATTTCTCCAAAACTCTTTCAATGTAGAATATCCATTGTGAGAATTAAATTAATTTTAATTCAGAAAGAAGAATACCTCTTGCCATGATGTTCAAGCCTTTGAATCTTTATCCTTGAATGATCAAGTCTTGAATGTATAAAGAAGTCCACTCATAGAACACTTTTACAGAACCATATGAGAAAAGTGAAAGGGATAGAGTTTCAAGCCTATTCTATGCACAAAACAACGTCTGTGTTTGATGGCTATCACAGGCATATTTATAGATAGGCTTGGACCTATATCCAAGTGTAACTCCTTATAACTTCCCACCATCAGGAAAGTTGTAAAGTCTCATGAAACCACCATATGGGATAGTGAACAAACATGAGTTACCCATTAGTCATTAAACCAATTAATTAGTCATTAAACCAATTAAATATATATAATAAATATATAAAATCACTTTATGGATATTCTTATATTCTCCCACTTGGCACATATAACACACGTTGTTGACTGTCGAGTAATTACCAAACTGATGATGGTCATTAAATAAAAATACTCAAACCTTAGAGGTATAATACACGAATCATGGCAGTTATACTCTATCAATTAAGTATTTCCTTCCATGTATTACATTGTATCACACTCTCAACTTAATGTGGTGTCATTCTTGATGAATAACTTTTAATAAGTTATTCTGGGTCCAATGATCCCTATGGATCAATAGTCCCAATGGACTGCATAGCATCACGAATACTTTAGGTGCACAAAATGATGTTTTTCACTAATAATAATCAAAATGTCATAAAACAACAACTAGAAAAATTATTGAGCTAACCAATCAGTCCCATGCCCTTAACGTGTTTTGAAAACACCTTTACAGAAAGACCTTTTGTCATGGGATCTGCAACCATCATATCGGTACTAATGTGCTCAATACTGACTTCTTGCTTCTTAAGACAGTCTCGAATAGCAAGATACTTTATGTCAATATGCTTGCTTCGGCTACCATTTTTGTTGTTGTTAGAGAAGAAAACCGCAGCCGAATTATCACAGTAAACCTTTAATGGCTTAGAAATTGAATCCACAATTCGAAGCCCTGTGATAAAATTCCTTAACGAAACAGCCTGTGAGGTTGCTTCAAAGCATGCTATAAACTCTGCTTCTATTGTTGACGATGCAATTATCGTCTCTAAAACAGCAGCGTCTGCTAGCAGAGAGACATATCTTAAAGTGGATTTTCTAGAATCTTGACAACCCACAAAATTTGAGTCTGAATATCCAACCACCTCAAGACAATTAACATGCTTAAGTAAGCATGTAGTCCTTGGTTCCCTTTAAGTACCTCATGATTTTCTTTGCAGCCTTCCAATGTTCCATTTCTAGATTACTTTGGTATCTTTCAATGCACATAATGTATAATACATACAATCAGAGTAATATTGCATGAAAAATCCCAAGGCCAAACACATGTAGTTCAACCTTATACTAGAATTTGCTTAAAAATTGGACCAAAATAAATTCCATAAGCCCAGTACATAGTGTATTCATACTCTTATTTCACATGAATTTTCAATGCATAAATAATTACCTTAATGCATGTAATATAATATTACATTATTTTAGATAACATGCCAATGAATCTCAAAAATTATAAAAACGAAAAGAACATGTTATAATTCACTGTATGAGATTCAATTGAATTTGCTTATTATTTAAACATGCAACGATAATAAACAAAACATCCTTAACAACACGTTAAAATTTCTTTATGAAAATTCTACAAATAAATTCAAATAAAAGCATGAGAATTTCTAGATTTGATATAGAATCAGATTAAATATTTTGCTCTTTAATGTGTGTGTCAAAAATAATAGTTAATAACACACAACAAGTCTCCTAAATAAAATAGATTCAGAATAGGAGAAAATTCTAAATAAATGTAAATACCACTAGCACAAATCACGATGGACTCTACTATTGTAACAGTGCTTCCTTTTTCTTTAATAGTGATATTCAAAAGTTATGCAATATAAATTTCTTATTCTGATTCTACAATGATTCTAAATTGTTAAATTTTATATACAAATACCACATGCATAGAATAGGCTTGATTCGATTCACGAAATTGATAATAGTTTGATGTAAGAATTTGAAATAAAACTAAACAACATAATAGAAGGTTGGCTTTGAAAGGGATTTACATGATTTTTAAATGGCACTTTACCAAGCTTCTTCCATTTCTGAAAGCATTAGGGGCTCAATCCCACCATCTGATAAGAGATATCTGATTAAACACATGTTGTTAATGGCTAATTAATGGCTAAATTATCAGATATAAAGTATCTTAAGCATATTGGCTAAATTAAACGTGTGTTATCAAATATAATAGTTTGGTTTAATGGCTAATTAATTAGTTTAATGGTTAATGGGTAACTGATATCTGTTTAATATCCCATATGGTGGTTTCATGGGACTTTATAACTTCCCTGATGGTGGGAAGTTATAAAAAGTTATACTTGGATATGGGTCCAAGCCTATCTATATATATGCCCATATGGTGGTTTCATGGGACTTTATAACTTTCCTGATGGTGGGAAGTTATAAAAAGTTATACTTGGATATGGGTCCAAGCCTATCTATATATATGCCTGTGATAGCCATTAAACACAGACGTTGTTTTGTGTATAGAATAGGCTTGAAACTCTATCCCTTTCACTTTTCTCATATGGTTCTGTAAAAGTGTTCTATGAGTGGGCTTCTTTATACATTCAAGACTTGATCATTCAAAGATAAAGATTCAAAGGCTTGAACATCATGGTAGGAGGTATTCTTCTTTCTGAATTAAAATTAATTTAATTCTCACAATTGGTATTCTGATTCTACAATGATTCTAAATTGTTAAATTTTATATACAAATATCACATGCATAGAATAGGCTTGATTCGATTCACGAAATTGATAATAGTTTGATGTAAAAATTTGAAATAAAACTAAACAACATAACAGAAGGTTAGCTCTGATACCAATTGTGAGAATTAAATTAATTTTAATTCAGAAAGAAAAATACCTCCTGCCATGATATTTACGCCTTTGAATCTTTATCCTTGAATGATTAAGTCTTGAATGTATAAAGAAGCCCACTCATAGAACACTTTTACAGAACCATATGAGAAAAGTGAAAGGGACAGAGTAACCATCAGGGAAGTTATAAAGTCCCATGAAACCACCATATGGGATATTAGACAGACATCAGTTACCCATTAACCATTAAACTAATTAATTAGCCATTAAACCAATTAATTAGTCATTAAACCAATTAAATATATATAATATAAATAAATAAATAAATAAAACATGTGGTATATGGGCCACTTTATGGGTATTCTTACATTCTCCCACTTGGCACATATAACACACGTTGTTGACTGTTAGGTAACTACCAAACTGATGATGGTCATTAAATAAAAATACCCAAACCTTAGAGGTATAATACACGTATCATGGCGGTTATACTCTATCAATTAAGTATTTCCTTCCATGTATTACATTGTATCACACTTTTAACTTAATGTGGTGTCATTCTTTATGAATAACTTCTAATAAGTTATTCTGGGTCATGTATTACATTGTATCACACTCTTAACTTAATGTGGTGTCATTCTTGATGAATAACTTTTAATAAGTTATTCTGGGTCCAATGATCCCTATGGATCAATAGTCTCAATGGACTGCATAGCATCACAAATACTTTAGGTGCACAAAATGATGCTTTTCACTAATAATAATCAAAATGTCATGACAAAACAAAATAAAACAACAACTAGA